TGGCCAGTGAATATTGAAGACTAGCGAGCTCCATCGTTTGAAAGTGAGGCTCTGAGATTCGACACGTAGGGATGTATATGATTCGCATTAAATTACCGGAGCCACTATTTCCCTAGGGCAGTTTTGTTCGAAATTCCGGAAAAGTAATGTCATTAAACCCATTTCAAACCCACCAGTCAGCCATTCCTAAGTTAATCTGCGAGCTAACAAGCAAGAACTCTACAACGAAATACTAAGTTTGGCTAGGAATTCACTCAAGTGTTCGCGTACCAGTCAGGAAGAAAGCCGTTGTTGCACGGTTAAGGGTGGTGCAATGTGAGATATCCGTATGTGTTTGACCACGGATACCTCAATCAGAACCATACGTCGCTTCAGCATGGATCAGAGGATTCTCATTGAGACTATCAAAAAATGGGTACCTAGGAATCAACGAATAATTTGTCTGGAGAATACCAACAGCACCGAAAGGCTGGGATAGCTCATATACCAATTATATGTATCGAGTTGAGGTCCATCAACCAGTGTTGTTTTCCACAAGCAACTTAAGGTAACAAACTCAAAAGTGGGGAACTTGAGAGTTGACAGAATTACAGTACTAAGTTCGCGATCAACACCTGTCAACACCCTGCTGCAGACGATGTAAGTTTGGTTGAAGATTAACGGAGACAATGTTCTTGCTGTCACTCTTGAACTAAGTTAGGCTGAGTGCTGGGGTTGTCGTGAAATGTTTGTGTTAACCCAAAGCTGAATCCATTCCCCTTCCTATTTTATCATTCAGACAACCAGTATTTTTCGAATAAGTATGGTTGCCAGCGGAAGAAACGTCAATGCACAGCGATGATGATGAATACATCACTAAAAACAACACACAACTAGCAAAAAGAAGCAAGTCCAAAGAGATTGCAGATAATCTGTATTGGTGAAAAACTGACGTTTGTACAGCAAAAACCGGGTAAATTTGTTCATCCTTCAGTTTACCGTCCGTGGTAAATCAGTTACCGGGCGATTCACTCTGCCGAACAAAATTGATGGTTTCTGTCATCTGATGAATTAGGGATACCCACGTTTGAAGCTCATGAATATCTGTAATGTCAAGTAGATGTTTAGCGCACCAACGTCTTTTCTCCTGAAGGGATTCGACAACAGAAATATCCGCATCAGACAGACTGGTTGATGGGGCTGTACCGTTTGATTTCTGTCTCCTAAGATAAGAGGAAAACGGAAGGACAAAAATACTTCATGACTTGAGTTGAAAAAATCCCACCATCAAGATAACCAAAAAGGACCTGCGAAAAAAACATAAGTCAGGATGAAACGAGAACACCACTAAGAAATTGGCAGGGACAACCAGGCAGGTCCGGTATGAGACCCTTACTAGTCGGAGTGGCGCTATGCATAGGTGGATAATCTAATGTCCACCAGTACTCGGGAACACACTGTTCATACCAAAAGAGATAATCTCCAGCAACGGAGGAACCAAGTCGCGACTTGGGAGTTCGACTTCGGAGTTCAATGCGCGTCAGTCAGAAACTGTTCAGTATTCGTCCAACCATTCTTTTTTGTACCACAATTGACCAGCTCAGATCGGTGCGGTGTAAAATTTAACCCGACTCAAGTATTCTATCTCGAACTAATAAATGCACGCTTTGCAATTCGCCCCATGGATTTGGCGTTTTGAAGCATGGTGGTTACAAAATCAAATGGTGTAGTATTCGACTATGAATCGTGGAACTGACCGGCGTTAGACTGACATCAACAAGTACGGCAGTGAAGCATCGGTGCTGAACACTGATGTCATGCTGTCGATGATGATGATGACATCAACAATGCACCAGTGATGATGACTTTAACTGGCCTACACATTTTGGGAGCATAGAATGCAAGTAGTTGAAGAAAACTGAAGCTCACCCCGACCGTGACATCGCTCTTCTGGAAAAAGGCATACATTCAATAACCGGTGTCACGCCACTGCACTGTAGTCAAATGACGTTTGATAAACACCGGGAGAAAATTCGCTGCACTTGATACTCACTAAAAATAACAGACATAAACCAACGGCTACAAATATCAGAATTTCATTAGAATTTCAGACATTCATTTCTAGACTTTGGGCAGATAAGGAAGACGCCAAAGGAGGGGAACGACATTACCGTTAAGATCAGCCAACCAGAAACGACTTTCGTTAATTGGAAGTGTTTCACAAACTGTATATGAATGAAATACCAAACAGGCGGTTGTCAGAGCCGCTTCAAAATTCCGGATACGCAAGACGAAAAGTCATCGTTTACGGTTGAATCAATCTTGTTAGCAGGCTAATAAAAGCCTAAACTGTGAGCTACACTTTTCGATAAACATGAAACACCGCAGTGCAAAACGTTTGATAAAATTCCATTGGGTTTTGACGAGGAACTGGTATCACTTCACACTTTAGGTTAACTGAATGACGAGCGTTTGATCTTACAAGTGTCACATTATGACCCTCAAACATTGGGTTGACAGGAAAGCTCGGTTGCACAAACATCTTCATTAGAATTTGAAGCGGTTATTGTGCCCTGGTTATTCGCTTGTGCTTGCTGTCCATTCATGTCGATAGAATGAACGCCGGTCACGCAGGTAGCGATTGATCTTGGTGAGGTTGCATGGATGGCGGAGTATACCTAGTTGATAAGTTCAGTCGACCATAAGTAAACGTCTGAAAAATACTATTTATTCCCGTACCAGATCAACCGCTTACAGATCTACCGAAAAGACTAGATCGACCGTCGTAAACGGACGAGCTTAACAGCTTACTGCAGTCTACCAACCGCAACGTCGTCCGGGTGTCGACTGTCAGAGGGTGATTGTCCTAGAACCCCAGAACATTCATGAAGTCAACTTATCCTCTCGCAGACGCATATCAGGATAATGTAAAGGAGAGTCTTAAAGCAGCTTCATAAAAGATTTACAACAAAACTCAAAAAGATGCGCAAATTTCTGCAAAGGATTTTTTTTATTCGAATTCAGCTAATTGGCGTACGAGTGGTAAACCAAGAGCAATGCAAAAGTATTATCGTTCGCGTCAGGTTGCATACTCACTTAGGATTATCTCCGAATGGATGTGAAGATACTGATCGGATACCAGAGCAGCCTTCTGTCCTAGGTGTCTCCACTGCTGGAGTGGTCCCGTTCATGGATACATCTACCTCGGAGCAGGCGATACAATAACGACCCCCATCCCTTGGTGCAAATAAAATTGTCTTTGAGGTAATTAAGATTAGTGCTCACAAAACAGGAATGTATACCTGGCAAACGCAGCAGTATTCGTCAGTCATTCGCCAACCTTTTAACAGATATTTACCCATAAGATTGGAGATCTGATTGGAGCGGTCACGTTGCCGCGCAAGGTCGGCATCATGCATGATGCCCAGGTCCTGTAATAAAACTATCAGTAAGCGAGGCGGAGAAATCGATAAATAAAACGAGCTTTACGCCAGTTGAAACCAGCTGAAAATAGATTTAAAAAAGGTAGATGGCCTCACCAGATCCAAGTGACAGTGAACGAGATTAATGTGCATTCTAATCAACTGCAATCCATCCTTCTCAATTCCGGAAGAAAGCTGTTGTATCGTAAATTGTCCAGTAGGGATGCGGTCTGCCGAAGACTAGCTTAAGTCTCCATAACGCAGTTAATGAGGTGAAAGAGAAAAGATGTTTTACGAACCGTGAACAACCAGAATACTGGTTTACTTATGTTCAGACTTTGTTCCGATGCTACTTAGGGTCATGATAAAACGAAGCCGATGACCACTTACACTGATTGCTGCATGGGATTTGCTTGAAGCTAACATATAGTCATCTTTCTGGTGTATATTCAGCAACCCTCTAAAAGACTCAAAAGATATTCTTTCGTTGTCTACAGAAAGATGGCTGTAAACCACGTTCCCCAGATTTTTTCATTCCCACAACGAAACAGCTAATGGGTAAACAAAACCTTAGTACAATGATTTGGCTTCTAGATTATCCTGTCATGAACTGACAAAGAAGGTAGCTAGGATCTGGACTGATTTAAGTTGAGTAGCTAGCAGTGAACGGAAACGACAGTCCCAAAATAAGGGCAGGCTAGCTACACCCAATATGTCGTCAGCAAGATCGAGGTAGATGTCGAAAAATTATCAGCTCCTCTGAAAACCTCCTCAAGTACTCTGCTCGGAGGAAATCCTTCCATGAATTTCTTCCGGCCCAATGGCTTTCACTAAGGCGAAGGGTAAAAGCGAGCGTCCGGCGACTCAACAACACCACCCAAATGGGACAGAAAAATTTTAGCAATTTCGATACAACTTCCCTTCAAGGTGAACTTCTTTCCCGTCTTAGCCAACCTCAGCAAATAATGAAACTGGTAGCTATTGGACATCCGGAAAAACAGGTATGATAGTGGACAATCGTGGAGGTGGATTTCATGACAAAAGTTCAGTCGAACTTGACCTAACACTACTTACAAGTCTACTGAAAAGTCTGCGACCGAACGACACCAATTTCGTCCCTTTTGCGGCTCATCAATTAGGCCTAGTAGATCCGCGCATCCACCAACCTTATTACCTGATTGTGTAATATCAGTGATTAGTTGTAGTCTTTTCTGGATACATGAGGGAACCGATGAAGTGATATGTAAGACTCCATTGATAGACTCGACTTTTGTGATGGACTATAGTATCTGGATCCCGTAATTTGAAACAGATATGTTCAATGGGATAATTCGTACACAATATTTCGTGGTAGTTTACTAGAAATGGCCTTTTTAGATAAAAGAAAGCAACTGATAGAAGTGGTAATTGGTTTCGAGTGACAAAAGCAAAGGATGTCGAAAAACTATATTCTGCAATCACCGAAACCGATGAAATGATGCTAAATCTGTACAAAGGATAGCAGTTCAACTATCAGACATGACATTCACAACAGGGGTCAACCGGAGGCATGCTTCGGAACTCAACTGATGAGTCATTTCACCCAGAACATTCAAGGCAGACGAGCTGGCCCGTTCTCGTGTCAATTGACTTATGGCACTGAATTCATCAAACACTTGTGAGAGGTTGTTTGCAAGCTTCTGACCCAATTGATCGTACGCGTTGAAAATACGTGACGCGTGTTGGGGTAATAAAGCCGTGGTAAATCCATCCGCTAACAGAGTCTCAGCGGATTCTGTGGTCCGTTGTTGGGTCATCACGGCATCGAGTAAGGTAGGTTCCGGTAGACCATTGTTGATGTAATTCAAGACGCGAAGGCGGGGAGGAAAAACCGCAGCATTTGCATTCAAAAAGGAGGTCGACGAGACATATTTAGTTTTATTGGCCTGAAGAGTTAGAGAAAATGGTCTGAAAATCAGGATAAACTCGTAAGTATGAAATCTACAAGACCGAAACAAATGTAAGTATGGATGTGTACGTTAGCAACAAATGTGTGCCACAGAGTAGAATAAGGTTGGACAACCTATGCAATCTATAATACCGCTGACAGTCCAAAAACAACTCATTTCAATGTTGACCATGATTCGGTTGTCAGGTAAGGCTTATCGCACTGGCAACTTAGATCTTTACAGGAATGAATTCATAATCGGGTGTCTAACAGAAACTGAGGTGGGATAATCAGTGCTAGGCGATTCAGTTTGAGATGTTAGCGAGTAATGAACTCTTAACGGCAGGCTCTCGGCTCAAAATGGAACATCACGAAATGCACACAAGCACAGCCTTCGGATGATAACAGTATCGTTTTCCGAACTTTGTCATGCTAGCTGTTCTCTTATCTAAATGTCGTGAACCAAAGAGTAACCTCTAGGTTAAAATACATATCTGGAGGCAGAATATCCACTACAAAAGCTTTGTCACACTAATGATCCTGAAAAGCGTTACAGTGTTATGAGGCATAACAGGCCGTACAGTTGACTGTCCCGGCACAACACAAGTATTTGTTTTGGTACCACCGCGAACTGGTTAGGAGGTGTGAACAATCGAGCCATATCAAACCCTGATAGAGAAAACTAACCCTGTCCACTATTATTAACAGGCCTGAGCTAGAGTACAATGGGCCATCCAGGTATTTTGCACTTCAAAACTTTCTCCAAGTAGTTGGCCACATTAATGAATACGCGAGTCATAGCACAGACACAGATTACGCATTGTTGAAAATGCTCCACACTCGCAACCAGGTTGAAAATAACTTGAGTTTCACAACACTAACTCACCCATATATGGTGTACGAATTCCCGTTCCTCCAGTAGACGAAGAAGCAAAGCCCAGTTGTAACCTAATTTATGAACCAGGTGAGAACTGTGGCCGGTCTCACTTGATCCAGACTGCTTCTTGCCAGACGTTCCCGCCAAAAGTAAAGTGGCTTGACAACAGCTACCCAGCAACGAGCCATGAGACATACCGATGTAATTCAACCACTGGTCTGTAGCTTGATCTGTGGAGAGTCCCAGTTGGCCAGAACTCGCCGAAGAACCGTGAGAGAAATTCATTGCAAACGGGAGGAATTCCGCCTCAAACATATTACCAATGGATTCAGAAACAACGTCCAACACCTTTGGAAAACATGTGTGAAGGAAAGTGCGTAACGAGTAACGAAAGTGAAATAACGCGGAAAGCAACTCCTCTAGAGGAACCAAGGCAAAAACATAGGAGCTTCGAAGATAATAACCACACTGTGACTACAGACTGCGAGATAGCTTCAGTTAGCTCATTAGTACTAATAAAATGATTAAACATAATAATAATCGTTCAGCTGCTGCATCCTTTCGGTGCCTACCTGCCATGCCACCCGCAGGAAGGACGAGGGCTGGGATACTACCCAAGCCCAGAGAGGAGAAGTCGAGGTGCAGAGGTGGGATTCGAACCTCGGACCTTTCGGTCAGTAAATTCGCTTTTTAATCACTGAGTTATCTCGACCCCAATTGGTACTAATACTGTTAGCTAAGCCCAGTAAATGCCGCTTACAAGGTCCACTCAGCCAGATATCTACTGGTTTGTAAAAATGCTGAGCTGTCCTAAAAACCGAAGATTGTGCTCTCGGACACACTGAAATCTAAGTATAACTTTGAAAGCAAGTAGAATGTAGCAAAGTATGATTCGTGCGCAACGGAAAACATGTTTCAAGTCACTTCGGTAATTCTATTCCTTTGACTTTTCAGTACTGTACGATAAGAAACATATCGTACAATGCAGTGGATCCTGATTGTTCAAAATTTATTCCGTCATTCGCCATGGATTGACGGTGCATCGTCCTTCTGCCCCGAAAAATCGACCACAGGTTTCGTCATTCAAAAGGATGATCATCACAATCACGCAGTTGCAGTTGGTTAACAACTGGTCGTGTTTACAGTGCATCTGGTTCATACAGTCGGGTCTGCAAATCGTCACATGCAAGTGGTCTCGAACATTTTCGCTGCGACCAGTTGCGTCAACAAGGTAGCTTCGAATGTTTTATCTGCTCAACACTGAATCGCATTTGGCTGCAGTAGCTGCTCTACGACACTGCTACTGTGATTAGGAAAGACTGCCACTGGTGGCTCAAGTTACCCGAGGGCATAAGTCAACCCCTAAAAACTCTTCGCACCGGTACAATATCAGACAGGATATCTGCTGCTCCTGGATAGTGGCATTCACCTTCTAGGTGCAAATAATTATTAAGCTGAAGAACAATTATCGTCACCTAACCACCCATTGCGCGAGACTCGCGCCGGTTTTTCTTCCTCTTACAAGGTATACGGCCTTACTCCAACTCCCACTGGTATAACGGGAATGAAATGTCCACGAAAATGCAGCTCTCCATTATATAAACCTCATAAATGATCAGGAACCCGTCAGTACGAAAGTTCTTTCGCTGGTAGATTTAAGTGTCGCAAATATAAGAGGTTATGTATAGGTTGTTTTGTTTATACACCGAGTTGCAAACTTGAAAACAAGAAGAGGGTTTTGAGACAATATTACCAATCAGAAGGAAAACCTACCTGGGTATTGCGAAATTCAGCCAAGGTCGTGGAAACGGACGCAAGAAGAACATCACCAACCAAGGTGGCCACTTTGTTTCCAGCTTCCCAGTCTTTTACAAGCGACCGCCCGTTCACTTCGTTCGAACCATTATTGCCACTAGTAGATATATGTTTGAGCGAACTGGGATCCACAAGACTCCTGCAAAGAGAACAATCACCATTAAACAACAACCGAAGGATATATCTGTGCACACTGGTGCATTCTAAGTCACGTGTTCCATCCCTCCTCTCGATATCGAACGAGGATTCAGAAGGTTTGGTAGTCGGAGAATGACATTGACGATTGGATCAGAACCGCTAATCAAAAATTAACCTACAACTCTGTTACGCACCTTTCAGTCCGCAGCTCGAACCCCCCTCTGGCATCTCAACTGCTCCTGTCTAGACTTGGGTAACCTGGTAATATCTCAATCTTCGTGGCGTGGCATCTAGGCGCCGAAAAGATACTACAATCGAACACATCAAGGTACGTCTAACATGAGCCTCAATCAGTCACTCTAATCCCGGTTTGGTTAACACTTGATTGGGCTGTCTAAAAAAATTACCACGCCTAAACAGCCGGCTCTTATTATTCTACAGGTTTCCGGATGCACTAGTATGCACTAACGCATCTTCATCAATGTAACCTGTTCGCACGAACAAGCTGGTGCTTGAAAAATGTCAAAACCAGCTATGATGATCCGACACAGAAGACTCACGGGCACACGAACACCCCTATCACCAACGATGAAAATATCATCTTTTTGGTTCACTAATGGTTATTCTTACCGGCTAAAAAACTACAGTATTTCTATGTGGCCAAAACGGCTGAAACAGCTATCCCTTGAGTCAACTGGTACTCGAGAAATTGAGGACAGAACGCAGTTCGGCTGAATCACAAAATCATTCTCACCAGTCAAACCAAGACATGAGGCCTGATGTGTTGCGCGTTTGTAGTCCCACACTTTAAATCGATAAAGTGATAATAAATCATCCAGCTGTAAAATCCTTTCGGTACCCAGGTCCCAGGCCACCCGAAGGAAGCACGAGGGCTGGGATACTGCCAGGTTGCTCAAGCCTAAACATGAAGAGGTCAGGTTAGAACAGCGGAGCTCCCGGTCAGTAAATTCGCGAGCCACCTCGGACCCAGTCGATAAAGTGCAAGCGATTCACGGAAAGTGCAAAACAAATGGCCTTCGTGTACTTCCACTTACCACACCTAGGGCACGTTGCAATGCGGATTTCACAGGTATGTAGGCTGCGCTCGGTACACGGTTTAACTTTCATCGGTACGTTTGCACTGAAACCCACATAACATATGAATGAGGAACTCGTCCTTCAGACATGTGCCTGTAACGATTAGATCCAGATGACAACGCTTAGAATTATCACCCGTAACGTTTGACTAAGTCATTAGCTCCCTCGCTTATTCTTAAATAATTCGTTGGCCCCAGCCACCATAAAATGTGCGCAGCTGACGAGCAATGATTCTGGAGTTTTCGTTCACCTGGGTATTCACTGCGACCGTCTGAAAATGCCACAATGAGGTTGATGTATAAGTTCGGCCGCAAACAACCTCATACCTTACACTGAGCCAATTTTACTGCAAAGATCCAGTTGGTATTTCCCCATACCATACTGTGCGAACAGCATATTAATAGTGCTTCCTATTACCACCAATTTCCTAGTTGACCACTCGCCATATTTGGACAAAACGAACGACCTCAACGTCTTCACCAAATGCAAAGACTAACAGTCGAAGAGAGCACCCGAGTCGCAACATTGCTACGACAGTGAGTGAAGATAAATGTGAACGGTGCCTTGCAGTGATGGTGACTATTTGGGTGTTTTGAGCATGATAACCTGGACTAATATCTAGGTAGGTAGAGGAAACATGCTGATCATCCGAGAATATTCATGACAATAAACATATCTATCGCTTTATCACTCCGCTACAATCCACCATCGATCCTGTTGAGAGACGCTGATGAAGGCCCACATTTTGCCGCACGGCCATATCATCAAGAACTCATCAACTGCACTCTGCTAGATTTCCCAAAACTATAAAGAAGCAACCGAAGCATCGCGACAGGGTGTAGACTAAGAACCTCTCGACTGAGAGTTTGCGCCTTAACTTCCGAGTTACCCTGAGCTAAAGGCAAAAATATTCTCGACCTTGAAATCACAATTGAAAATCGTTTCGCCATACGGATTACAGCGACCAATTTCTAAGTGTCATATATTTTGTAGGAGTTCAAGGAGTCAGTCAGTGAACGAAGATGAGTAAGGGCAAGTGGTGCTTTCCGGTTCCATAGGCCGAAGGAAGGGGTTCGATTGAGGTAATCCTCAGAGTCCTATACTATGGAAAGGCCACTTCGGTGACTTCAGAGGTGTGTCACGTGCACCAGATAATCCCTCAATACGACTAATTTCGGTTTACTTATTTCTGCGATTTTTCAGATTGTCCAGTCTATCCACTAAATTTGTGATGATCGTATGTAAGCTGACACCACGTATGAAAAAATCTTCGTATCTCAAAACCGGATGGAAAACAACGTCCATTAGTATATTACGTGATAATTCAATGACATGAATGCCAAACATAGCAGATCTCACAGACGTGTAAGATGAGTATGCAAAAACGACTCACTTGTGTATGGTCACAGCCAAATGCACTGTCTCAAAAACCTCCGCCAATTTCCGATATTGATTGGATAACTTTACACTACTCTTGCCAAGGTTCCCGGCAGAACACTGACCGGCTAACAGGATAATCAATCCACATGGTGCACGCTGTGTCAGGTTTCCGCGGTTAACGGGCCCGAAAGACTTAAGAGACAATGGAAGGAAAGGATAATTTCCTGATCGGCCTTGGAAACATGCGCGAACAGCGCTGAAAAACGGATGATCAACAGTGCCAGCTAGTCGTCTGGCTCGTGATGCCAGAAACTCAACTTCTGAAGTTAACAGGGAACTTAAGTTGATAAATGGTGCTGGACCACCAAGCAGTTTTTCCGCTTGAACGATGAGATTTTTCCATTTATTACTCATCATAGAAACACGGTCAAACGGAAGTGCTGGCAAAGATTTGCATAAAACTAAAGCGGGAGCGGATGGGTTGGAATACAAGGAGGTGTGGTATAAAGATTTGCACTCAAGAATAAGTTCGCTAAGTCCAGTTCGGACCAGCGTGCCTCAACACCCAATTCCAATGGAAGACTGCCTGGAAGTAGTTGCTGTACGTCGCTGATTTGAGGTTCCGGGTCGGGAAGGTGGGAAGGTTGCACATGAATCAGTTCAAATGGTAAATTATCGTCGCGCCAGTCTTGTCCTGCCAGATCAATCAGAGGCCCGTCTGTAATGTATTCACCATCAGACATTAAAATCTGGAACAGAGGACAACATGGTGATTTTGACTTCGAGCGAACACCATAAATCTGTGAACAGCAAGCACCGGTAGTAAAGGGGGTACCGAACCTTGGATAACAATTTCCTAGTGGAGCAAAAAAGCAGTAGCAAAAATTTATGTCCATGGGGGAAACGGTCAAAAATCGTGACATTTCTATACCCCTTAAGAATCGTCTAGAGTTGAAACCGGTGACGCTGTCTTCATCTGAGGAAGGAAAGGTCAGAACAGGGCGTACAAGACATTCCGACTGTCCAATACGGCCGAAAAATGCATAAGTCTTTCCATGAGTTCTGTGAAGCCCCGAACGCACCTGTTGTGCTAACAACATCAAGCCGGGCAGTCACGGTCTGGAATTCCGCTATAAACCGTGTACCAGGACGCGAAGCTTCCAGCTGTAACGGCTTCGCTAATCGAGGATGAGAAGAATAAGGAAATGGCGACCGTACGTTAGAGGCGAGGGTCCAGTCAATTATTGACGTTAAATTGTATTGGCTGACATTATATAGAGTAAGAGCCGCGCGTTGAAGGAGACAGTTCGATTAGGTTTAGTTAATCAGTTATAACCTATGTACGAAAGGCACATTGGTTCCAGCTGCTACAGTTTCTATCGCTGGAAAATAAGCGGGCGTGGCGAATACAGCGTTTTTAGTTAGCTCGGAAAACCTAACACCTATGCACTGAAGGCGATAGTTTTGATAAACGAGCGCCAGTGACTACGTGATTCAGCCACATCCGTCAGTGCCACTAACCATTGGTGGGTTGAATCCCAGAGTCCACATTCAGGGAGGTGGCAGTTGTCGACCCGACCCAATTCAGTGGTCGGTTTTCATAATTCTTTATTAGGTCGTAGACTGTCTACCCCTCGGTCGCTTCTACTCAGCACAAGGCTGGACAAAAACAGCCCTGAGAGACAGAGGACCCTTCCGCATGCAGAGTACATATCCTAGCCGGAATAACCCATAAAGCATCGAACAGCTTCATTTTCTTAAAACCATCGGGCGTATCTCAGTATCCCTAATTCGATGCTCGCACCGGACCCGACCAATTTTTCGGAGACGCCAGTGGTCAAACACTCGCAGCTTTTGTACGTCCTCTGTTCATAGAGGCCGTGTTTCTGGTCCAAAAAGCAATGTACTCCACACCAGCACATCGTATGTTCTGTGTTGACAGGCAAACTGACGTCACACCGGTGCTATAAGTGTCGGAGGTTGGCAAAGAAGGTAGCAACTTTCATGGGAAACTGCTGGGTGGATTGTCCGAATCACTAACCATTGGTTCGTCCATCTCGTGGTTCCAGTTCAAATGGATAGACCACCACGAGTTGACCGGTAAGAGCTTTCATGCCTTGTTGCCAGGCTCGCTCCTGGCATGATACATGGTTGGGCGGAGAGGGCTCTGTGAAGCACACGGCCGTCTGGTATACAAAGCACATAGCCTAACCAGCTCAACCTGTGGAGTGTAATTGGTTGATCTATCAAGGGAAAGCTGCTTATCCTGAAAACCATACGTCGTACCTCTGCAGACCGCGCAATACTTTGGAGACATAAGATTTTCGAAAATCTCCACGCAAGACCACGTCTCCAAAGCACAGAGTTCTACAGGTTAAACCGGAGCATCCGAAATTTCGTAGGTTAACAAAGGCTCCCCTGGTCTTCCGGTTCCAGCAGTGATTTCATTCTTCTCCAATCGCCCGGGACTTATCCGACAAGGGAGTTTAGTCAGCAAACGGTTTGATTGGTCTGCAAGCGTGATTTTTGGGTGTAAACCCAACCAGCCTTGATTTAGCAGCGAGGCACGTGCGGAAACGTGGAATTATCCAGGTTACTTGAGACAGTGTACACTTCTGAATGTTCAGGTCCAAAGAGAGCGATATTGTCAACGTCATCATCATCTTCATCATCATCATCGACAGCATGACATAAGTATCCATCACTGATGCTTCACTACCGTACAACCATGATTTATTCGAAAGTCTTATTGTAAAGAAAAGAGTAGAGGTGGACGGGGAAGGGACTTAGTGCTAGCTCGCCACAATCGTTCCGAGGTGCCTACACCTCCAGACGTACTGTACTGTCAACGTGCTGTAAATGAAAGCCCCGAGGGCACTTCAGTCCCCAAGATGTTAAACGTAGGCGAAGAGGCAAAGAATTACAGGATATATGTGCCTCACCCCCTGCGCTTCCGGGAACGGCTGGTTCTGTTGAGTAAAATAAAGCCACATATATATTAAGCATGGTTATGTGGTTGTTAGCCCAACCAGTTTAGTTGCCGGTTGAGTTGGCAAATGTTTCGTTGAAAGCCCGGATGACGCAGTGCGTAATCAAGTAACCAAGCATGGCAGCTAAACGGTGCGCTGTTATATGGGTCAAATAGGTGTAAAGCACTCCTTCAAAGTTGGTGGGAACTCACATCCGTATTCAACCCGGATGACATGTTGGAGACTGTTGACAGCTTTGTCAGCCTGAGGAGTTGCATCGGACTCCAAAAATAAGGATGGTTTTTGCCAACTTGAAGCGTTGGTAGTGTTGGAATGACAGGTGGTGTATAAGACGCCACAGTCAGTGTCGTGCGATAATAAAGCTGTGAAACCGGGTCTCTCGCGTCCGTTTTTGACAACCGTTGTTCACCCATCATTGCTGATGTTTGGTAACAACTGTATGATAGCAAAGATGAAACGTCACTCAGTTTTGGGCACTGCCAGCCCACGATTGAGCATTATTTCACGATACTCAATCAGATAGCACAGCTGCGTTGTCTGGACGCCTGCCCATCGGTTCCTACAAGAAACTTTACTCGCAATGTGGTGGTCCCAGCGGAAAAAAGAGTAAGCGATTTCTCGGTGTAGCAGTTCAGTCTCTGCTGTTTAGCTTACCGTCAGAGTTGGGAAATAGAGGATAATGAGTGCTGTTGTCTAGACTTACTGCAAGACAGTCAGAAATCGGATTCTGTGGCGTAAATGATATTTTCTTCTGCCACGTATAACATTAAAAAACCTCAAGAAATACTAAAACTGCATGCAGCCAAACGAGACCAAGGCATATTTCTACTCATTTTTATGAATCTTGTGCTCTGTGCTGTAATACTTCTTTGGTATAACCTCAGACTGATGTAACACACGAAGTAATAGTAATAAATTGCTCGGCTGCAGCACTTTCAGTGACTATCTGCCCGCTACCTGAAGGAAGCATGAGGGTTGAGACACTGCCAGGTTGCTAAAGCATAGACAGGAGTAGTCGAGATACTGTAGCTGGGTTCGAACCACGGAACATTCGATCGGCATATTCGCGCTTTAATCACTGAACCACTTCGACATCAAAATTAACTTCTGGCATGTTAGTCAAGATTCACGACCGACTTAAACATCGGATTAACAATGCTGGGGTACACCAGATGGTCTTGAGAGGAAGGTACTTTCCCGCGATAGATAAGTTATTCGCGCCTAATATGTTGAGCTGGTTAGGGCGTGTACTCTGCATACCATCGTTCAGCTGTAGCACCCGTTCGGTGCCTAGCTACCATGCCACACGAAGGAGGCACGAGTGCCGGGATACTGCCAGGTCGCCCAAGCCTAGACAGGGAAAGTCGAGTGGTAGAGGTCGGGTTTGAACCACGGACCTTCTGGTAAGTAGATTCGTGCTCTAACCACTTGAGCCATCTGCCAGAGGATCGTCTGCTTCGCAGAACTCTTCTCACCCAGTCGTCTGCTGAGTAGAAGCGGCCGGTAGGTGGACAGTCTATGACCTGGCAACGAAGCATGAAAACACTAAGCATTAAATTGAGTCGGTTCGACAACTGCCATCTCCCTCTGTAACTCAATTCACCAATAGTTCATGATGCTGACAAAAATAGCCCAATCACGCAGTCAGTGAAGCTCGCGGTCAAAGTCATCACCTTCAATGGACAGCCTCCCAGCTTCCAAGCTAAATATGCCATCGCTTTCAATGCATGGCTGTATTTTTCACGCTCTCTCACGTTCTGGCGATCGATACTGTAGCAGCTGGAACCGATGTACCCTTCGTACATAGTTTATAGATCCGACCAATTGATGTCTGCATAATCTTTGGGTAACCACAGACGGCTTTCGCAAAGCCGTCTATGACGATGCATGCATACCAATCCGTTGAGCCGTCCGACACCAGCAATGCTTGAGGCATCAGTGGTCGAAAAACCGAAGGCGCCTCACATCATCTGTCCGCAGAGGTCACCCTCACAGCCATACAAAACAGTCCTTACTGTAGCCTGGTACAGGCGACCCTTAAGACGAAGTTATATGGCTTTTTGACGCCACAGGTGAAGCAAATCAGCAAATTTGATCCGAGCCTTTGGGGTTCGTGCACTGACTTCATCAGACACATTTCGGTCAGAGCTAATACAACTATCGAGTTACGTAAAAATTTTCCGGAACCACCAGTGATTCGCCTTGAACTGCTAGGGGTATGTTCAGGGACTGCACGTTCTGAAGCACGACTTTGCATTTTGGAGGCTCTGGGTGCATGCCGAAAGATGGTATGATGGTGGTCAATCTATTCAACAGGGCTTGTGCTTCGCCTTGGTCTTCAAAGATGAGGGCGATGTCGTATGCGTACTCCAGATCAACAAAGTTTTCATCAGCAATAATTTGAACACCGGGGTTTCGAGGACACCTTCCCTCCCAGCGTTCACTTCATTACTTCATCAGACGAAGCTGGACAGAAATAGACAGATTGGACATCCTTACTGGACGCCATCTTTTGTAGGGAAGCTGTTGGAGAGCTCATCATTCACACTATCATACCCCGATGTGTGTGAATATAGGGATTGGATTGTGTTAATAAACTTCTTGAACATTTCCTGCTGAGCAAGTTTAGTTAACAGCACTGACTGGCCGAAAGAATCAAATGAACCATGGAAGTCAATGAACAATATTATGAGTTCCCTGTATATGTGGCGTTGCTCTAGCACCTGACGGAGTGCGAAGATGTGGTCAACGCAGTCTCTACCC